ATAATATTTATTAATATTTAACAGATAACGATTGCAAATAATTTGGATATGTTTGCTGATTCAATAGATAAATTGAAAAAATATATCGAAGGAATGCGAAATGAATCATTGAAATGGAATGAAATTCAAAAACAAAAACGAATATCAATCATTTCACAGTCAGCAAATGAAACATTCATTTGTAAACAAAAACAAAAATGTTTCAATCGCAAAATGCAAGGTATTATTTATTATTATTATTATTGTTATTTATTATTATTATTATTATTATCATTATTACATGTTATTATTATTATTATCACTATTACATGGTTATTATTATTATTACTATTGTTATTTATTATTATTGCTAAATATTATTATTATTACGATTTATTACTATCATTATTATTATTATTTACAAGAAAGAAGAAGAGATGAAAGAAGCAAAAAAGAAATTTTAACAAAACATTTTCTTACTTGCATTATTCTTCGGTTATTCATTATTTACTTTTATAGATGTTCTTTACTTACCACTCATTTACTTATTTATTTATTCAATTTTATCAATTTCAAATTATAGTTCAAAATTCTTTGCTACAAATTTATTATTTGCTTATATCACTCAAATTATCACTGCAATTAAATAATATTATATGAATTAAAATGAATTATGAACGATATTTAAACTTGAAAAATTACTCAATTAAATTTTTTATTTCTTTTTTAAATAAAAAAAAAAAAAAAAAGAATTTGTTTAATTATAAATTATTAATAAAATTTATATAAAATAGAAAAGAAATTTAAACAATTGTGCTAATATCATTTATAAATTTAACATTTTTCTTTTTTATTTTTCTAATTTTAGGTGCAATTCATGGTGCAATGAATGCACTTCGAGATATACCAGCAACATTAGCTAATATAACACCTTCATCATCAGAAAATGCATCATTGAATGAGCAAAATGATAATTTTGATAAGCAATTAAATGAAATTGATAATGAAACTGAGATTGAATTAGAGGATGAGGAACCATTGGAAGCTGCATGGGAACGTATTGAAATTTTGAAAAAACGTTTTAATGAAATGCTTCGAACGGTGTAAATGTTTCACTGTTTTTTTTTTTTTTTTTTGTTTTTTATAATTCTTTTATTTTTTTTATTTTTAATTTTTCATTTATAATTTTTTTAAAAAAAAAGGAAGCGAAAATAAAATTTGCAGAAATTTACTTTTTTTTTTTTTAATATTTTGAATTATGCAAAAGTTTTTATACAAATACAATAGACAATGAGTTAATGTGTCTATTGCCATTTTATAAATAATACTTCTATTAATATTATTTATTATTATTATTATTTTTATTATTATTGTTATTATTATTATTGTTATTATTATATTATTATTATTATTATTAAACTGTTATCAATTTATTTTATTTATGTTTTTCTCCTCCTACACATTTTATAGAATTTAATTTAAATTATATATACATAAATGCAACTTTTTTTTTTTTGTTTTTATTTATGAAAATTTTCTTCACTCAAAATTTAATATTATTTCTTCTATTTCTTTTTTTTTTTTTGATTCAAATTTTTAGGATGAATATGCTTTGCGATGAAATTTGCAGCGATCTTTATAATTGCTTCGAACAACTATTAAGCAAACAATGGTACTAATTTTTAGAAATGAAAACATTTTAATTAATTAATTAATTATTATTATTATATTTAATAAATTTTTAATATTATTATAATTTTTTAATTTTCATTTGTAAATGAAAAAGAGAAGACAAAAAAAAAAAAATTTAGTTTAAATTTCTAAAAATTTAGGATGAAAAATTCAAATATTATTGGAACAATTTGTGAAACAATAAAAGATTATGAAAATGATTACATGCATCTTCGACGAGATATTCATATTGAAATACTTCAATTTATTGAATTTAAAATTGTTGCAGAATATTTAAATGCTATTGCAAGCAGGTAAGTTAGAAAGAATATTTATTAAAAAATTTTTGAATTCATAATTCATAATTAATCTAATTTATTTTATTAAATTTGTTACAAACAAAAAGAAAAAGAAAAGAATTAATTGCTATTAACTTTGTTAAATTTTCAGAAAATTAACTTGCACAGAATATCAAAAACGTTGTGCAATTGCAAAATGTCTTCAAAATGATATTGAAATAATCAATGTAACATTTAATGCATTATTTACACAATTTAATTGTATTAATAAGGTAAATTTTGTTAAATTTTCTTTTTTTTTTTTCATTTAAATTATTTTACAATTTATTAATACAAATTAATTTATATATCATTTTTATCATCTTATTTATCACTAAGTAATATACATTGTTATCAATATTTTTCTTTTTCGTCTTCTGTTTTTTTGTTTTTTTTTTTTACAAAAAAATTATTTATTTATTTATTTATTAAATAAATAAAAATCATTAATATGTTTAATTTACTTGGATATTTTTTTTTTTTTTTAAAAAAATATATGTCAAGTTAATTTATTTGAAACTTTTTTGAATTTATTTTATTGTATTTATTTGATATTGTAATGCTATAATTTATTATAATATATTATGATATTATCATTTGATTAAAAATTAACAATAAAATAGATTTTTTGATAAACATAAATAAATATATGATAATGAATAAATTGAGAGAATTAATTTCTCTTTTTTTTCTTATATTTCATTTTTTTTTTGAAAGAATTTATTTTCATCGTTTTTTTCTTTCCGTTTAAATAAAAATAATTTTTTTATTTAACAGAGACAGAAAAAAATAAATAAATAAACAAAAAAATGAAAGAGAGAGAGAGAGAGAGGGAAAAAAACATTTCTTTATATTATTATAATTATAGACGAGAAATTTAACAAATGTATTATATTCAATTGCTGAATTTATCACACTTCGTGATAAAGATATGCTTTTATTGGAAATAGCATCGTTATTACGTAAATATCCGGAAATGACGGAAGAATTTCTTTTCACGCTTACTGATATTCGTGATGACGTAACAAGCAGTGAATCACGGTTTATTTTCTTTTCGAAATATTATTAGAGTTATATTTATTAATCATTTATGAGTAATGAGTAGTTCTTTGTTTTTGTTTTGTTTGTTTTTTATTTTATTTGTCAAAAAATGGATTAAAAAAATTTTCTTTTCTTTTTCTAATATAATAAGAAGTATTCAAAAAAAAAAATTTTTTTTTTTTTTTTTTTTTTTTTTTGCAGATTTATTAATGAATTAATAAACTTTACATTATTTTGCTTTCATTAAATATAAACCCACTAATTGGTTAATTAAACGGAAAAGTTCTTTGATGTGTTATTGCTTATATGCTTTCTAAGTGATTTTAAAATAAGATTTAAGCAATTAGTTGAAACTGATGTTATGATGTTATTGAGAAGTATTATGTTTTTATACATATATGTAATATGTTAAATTTTTAAATGTTAGAAATTTTCAGAAATTTTTACAAGAATTCATGAGAAGCAATTTTTTAATATTTAATCAATTATTTTTATGATAAAATTATTAGTATTTCTTTTTCAAATTACATAAATATATATATTATTGCTATATTTCCTTAATCATTTGTTATCATTTATCACTTAAATAATTTTAAAAGTAAACATTAGTAATAAATTATATCAATCAATCAATCAATCAATTAATCAAAGCGCTATTTTAGAGCATTAACAGAAGATTGTATGAAAATGATTGGTAAGAAAGAAAATGATCCAATATTGATACGACTATTTCAAATGGCAAAAGGTGAACGAAAAACAGCGCAAATGATCAAAGATGTTGTTCCAAGAATACGACGACGAGTTAAATTAACTATTGCTAATCAATAATGATACAATTTATAAAAGTTTACTTAAAAAAGATGTGAGGGAAAAAAAGAGAGAGAGAGAGAGAGAAGAGAAGAAAAAGAAGAAAACAAAATAATTTTCCTCAATTTTATTTTATTATATATTTTATGTTATCTTTTTCTTCCCTTTAATAATTTGTAATTCTATTAATATTATTTTTTTATTCTGATATATTTATTTTATGTAAATATCAATGATACTATGCAAATTTTGTTTGCTATATGATATGCGATTAATGTTAATCAACACATATCATGCAATTATCATTAAACTAGCAAAACAATAATGAAATCATCATTAAATTAGCTACACAATTAAGCAAATGTTATAAAGCGAGAAAGATAGAAATTCCATTAAAATGTCATAGATTCTCAAGAATTAATTATTCAATGATACTAATTAGTAGTTAACTATTTGTAGAACTGTTTTTTTTTTTTTTTCTTTCGATTTTTAAACTATTGAAATTCGTTGACATTTTGAACAAATTTCTCTCACTAAAATGTCATTGGATCAGTCATATGAGACTACTTCATTCGTCCAGCAAACTTTCTCATTTATTCTTCCGATCCTACTTATATATGTATACATCTTCACTGCCATTATAACAATTTAAGCAACTGAAACAAGCTTAATTTAAATCAGAGCAAACTGATAAAAACTACTGAAGTTTTCAACAAATTGCATATCATAGCATTGCATTTTAATTTAAAACTTTTATCATATTGCTTGAGCGAATATCAAACCACCAGACAATTAATTAATTAATTAATCCTTCATTCTAGAATAAATATGGTTAAAAAGATCATTGCGTAGAACGAGAGAAAACACTGAGGTAACTTTTAAGAATAAATGTAATTCCGTATTAATGCTAAATATAATTTCATCCTAGTAGTGTCTTGGACATAAAATCAAGTACTCAAAAAATTCAACATGCATATGTTAATCCAAAGAAATTGAAATGTTCATGCTTAAAGAAAAATTGATATAGGTTAAACTAAAATCAATAAAAATTTCGAAATTTTCTACAAAATTTGTAGCAAATTTAGCAAAACAGATAATATACCATCGCTATTACATTTATCAAAAATTTCACTATGGCAAATAAAAATTAATTTTCCTACGATCTTATTTTTTCAATGATCTCTTTGCCATTTTAATCACATCAGCTGGTTGTGGTTGTGCTGCAATTTCAAGCGATTCACTAAACGGCATTGGAACATCAGTACCAGTAACTCGATATACGGGACCATCCAAAGCATCATATGCTTCTGATTCATTTAACTAAATTTGAAATTTATTTGTAAACAAAACAATTAACAGTCAAATTTTCAAAATGGAATTTTTCTTTTCTTCTGCACTCAAAATGAAATCTTTTTTTTTTGCAAATATATTTATAAAATGTAAAATGCGCAAACCTGCATGCAAATTTCTGATCCCACACAGCAAAAAGGCCATCCATTATCAATGGTTACTACGTGATGAGTTTTCATAACTGATTTCTTGATCGTTTCAAAATCAAATGGACGAATAGATCGCAGATTGATCACCAGAAAAATAGAACATTAAAAATTAAATTTTACTTTATCGTTTAGCAAAATTTCATCCTATTCCTTTTCATTACATCTTTCTTTCTCCATTCACATTCTCCAGTTGCAAACAAACAATCTTCAAATTGGTCGTAATTTCAATATCATTTGAACTAAGCAGACTTCAATTTATCAAATCAAAATTTGAAAAACAAATCAAAGAATGATATAGAAATTTACTTCAGCACTAATTCCTTCTTTGGCTAACTGTTCAGCAGCTTTCATCGTTGTTACCAAACCAATCGAATATGAAATAAGGGTTATATCTGTTCCTTCTCGCTCAATTTTTGCTTTACCAATAGGTACCATAAAATCGTTTTTCAGTGCCTCATCTGACATTGGGAATGTTTCGCTATATAACAATTCATTCTCCAACATAACCACTAAAATAAAATAAAAATTAATAAACCTAAATTTAAGATCTTACCAAGCTACAATCTGCAATTTTAATTTTATTTTCAAATTCTGTTCCAATATTTTGTAAAAAATAGCACACAAACTTAATCATCCAATTGTATACATATTTTAAATTTTCATAGGATTTCTCAGCAATCCTGTCCAAATATTGCATAAAAGAACTTAATCGTCTAATTATATACATATTTTAAATTTTCTTACGAACGCTGTCCAAATATTTCAAAATGGATTTTTTTCACTGTTTCTAGAATATCGTACCAAATTATGATAGTAAATCTATTAAGTGTTTGAATCCAGTGACATTAATTTGCATTAGTTTGCAAACTTATTTACAGATACATGAGATTTGTGCACTTTAATTAGAAGATTTTAAATATATAAAAAAAATTTCTAGCTTTTAAGGACCAAAAAATATTCTCGCAAATATAACTACTACCTACCGGGATTATCATCACGAACAGCTGACTTCAGCAAACCTTTTGCATCTTCAGCAGAATAAGGTGTAACAACCTGAAAAGTGAAAAATCACGAATCTGAATTATGCACTATAACACTCAGCGAAGAAGTTCATTTCAATAGTTCGTTCAAACATCAAAAGATTTCAAAGCTAAACAAAGTTTCAACAATGAACAATGTTTCAAACTATTGATGTATACAGCTGTCCGATCATAAAGCTTCAAACATCTAGATGGATCAGATGAAAGATGAAAAAAAATAACAACAATGTTGATTGTAATAAGAGATCAAATTTTCATTTTTACTAATTTTGACTGATGAAAATCAGTTACAAACTATAAACAAGAAAGAAAATAAAATATGAAAACAAAAAATTAATGAAAGGATACCTTTAGTCCTGGACAATGAGCATACCATACCGTAAAATCTTGACTGTGTTGTGCGGCAACACCAGCAGCTGCTCCATTTGGTCCACGAAAAACAATCGGACAATTTAGCTAAATGTTTTTTGATGTCATAAAGGTTATAGTTTTCTGACTAGTTACTAAATTTCTTTTTTTAACTAAAAGAAACTTTTTCTTGTTAAAAGAGACTAAAAGTGAACTTTGTTCTCTTCAAGTTTTCGTATTCTTGTTGTTATCTTCAATATGTAAAAAGCTTTAATGCTTTGATGTTAAGGTAAGGTATTAAAAAAAAGGAAACAATTTTGTAAAATTAAAGAAAGATAACAGCAGAAGCATTTTACCTGACCCGCTGACATATAATATGTCTTAGCTGCACTATTTATAATCTGATCAATACATTGCATGGAAAAGTTATAAGTCATAAATTCACAAATTGGACGAAGACCAGCAAATGCAGCACCAACTGCCAAACCACAAAAACCTGCTTCCGTAATTGGAGTATCTATGACACGAGATTCGCCAAATTTACGCATCAATCCTCTTGAGATCTTTAAAAAATAAACATTTAATTTTTGATCTATGTAAATATTCAACAGAAAAAAATAATAAATGTAAATAATGATAATATATATGAATATAATTCTCTCTATTAAATATCAGAAAATAATAAGCTAACAAGAGTTCGCACAGTTTGACTTTTTTTTTCCTGACATAAATCATAAAAGAAAAACGATGCACTTGCTTTTTTAAACGTTCGCCTTTTCCTTTTCCTTTTCTTTTTTTTTTTTTTTTTTTTGATTTATATTAATCAATTTACCATAAATCATTAAGAAAAAAAAAGTGGAGATAAAAACTCATCCAACCACCTTTTAATATGAAGATAGTACAAACACTGTAAGTGAACTTTTTTTTAAAAAAAAAGAGAAATTATTACATAGTCTAGAAATTTTGAAAGTATAATTTTCTTCCTTCATTTTTTTTTTCTTAACTTAAAAATATTTAATTTGAAATAAAGTAATATTACTAGAATTAAAATATTAAATTAACTGCAATAATTCAAATGACAAAAATAATACTAAATGATTAGTAAAATTAAGATATTAAATTAATTTGCAATAATTCAAATATTATTTTAGCAATAATATTAAATGGAATACCTTATAAGCACCATCATAATGTCCAACTTCTTCACCCAATAAAAAAACACGCTCATCATGTGATAATTCCTCATCTAACGCCATCGAAAGTGCATCACGTACACTCATCGTTGATGCAGCAAATTTTTGTCCAAATTGAGAGACATTCTTTACAGGTAAACGACCAACTATTCCAATTAATTTATTTAATGCCATTTTATAACCTTTATCAATTGCTTTACTGAGTTCCACTGATAAAAAAAGCCTGAAAAAAAAAAGGAGAGAGAAAACAAATAAAATATATAAAATAATTATGCATATATTTATAAAACAACATAATTTAAAAAAAAAAAAAAAAAGAAAATAATAATAATTCCAGTTAAAGTATAAAGTATTAAGCTTAGTAACTGTCAGCTATTTTTGCAAAAATTATATAAACATAATATGTTTAATCATGATAGCTCAATCAGACAAGCATTAATTTCATCTATTCACTGCCATAAAATAGAAATAACATTCAATTAAGTAATCTGAACACAAATAAAAATATAATAACAACAATCTACACCTCACCTCTTCCTTAAAATTACAATGAATGAAAGTAGTCATGATTTCATCCTAGGAATATTTATATAAATTTGTTTAATTCCTAATTTATTCATAAAAAATGCAAAATTTCATTTCATAAACATAATTTCAAATCATAAATCAATGAACATCACAAGATACATAAATACAAATTCATTCATTCATTCAAATGCTCCAATAAAAAACAAACTCTCTTACGTGTCATAGGTCAACAATATAAATGGGAGGACAAAGAGGAAAAAAAAAAAGCAGCAGCTATAAATAGGATAAGTGAAGAAAGCAGTAAACCACCTAAATGTCAAAGGTCAACAATAAATATCTCAACGAATATTACAAATAAGAAGACAAAAAAGCAAGCCTTGTAGTTTTTATTTTTGTAATCATTATTTGTTTATTTATTGTTATATAATTAAAACTTTAACGAACGACGAAACAACATAGAAGTGCAAAAGCGGAACAAAAGTGAGGCATTAGAAAAGGCGGAAAATTACATTCAACCCAAAGTTTTCCACATTATCCCCTCATTCCTCTCCTCTCCTCGTTCCATTGACTTATATCATGTGGATATATTTATGTACGTGTGTGTTTGTGTATGTGTATGTGTATGTGCGTGTCTGTGTCTGTGTGTATGTGTGCCTGTGTCTGTGTGGTTACGGCCTTTGATGATCTATGCATGTAGTACATGTCATAAATATGTCTGTGTTTTTCTATATACGTATTTGTATGTGTGTGTGTGTGTGTGTTTATGTACGTATGTGTTCTAAAAGGACATAAATATTCTATGAAATATTTAAAGCAAAAATGCAAATATGGAATGAAAGATATGTTAAAGAAGAAAAAATCAATTGGCTATACGTGATAGAAAATTCATTGTATATGACGTGGGGAAAGATTATATAACGTGAGAAAACAAAAGGCAAAATTCATTACGTGTGACGTGAAGAAAGATTATTGCATGACGTAAAAAAAGATAATTTATTACATGACGTGAGAAAGCAATGGACAAAATTCATTACATATGACGTAAAAGAGATAATTAAATAACGTGGAAAAAGATTATTTATTACAAAACAAAAGGTAAAATTCATTACGTAGAAAAGATAAATACATAACGTGGAAAAAGAAAATTTATTATATGACGTAAGGAAACAAAAGCAAAATTCATTACGTATAACGTGGAAGAAGATTATTGCATGACATAGGAAAAGATAATTTATTATATGACGTAAGGAAACAAAAGCAAAATTCATTACGTATGATGTGGAAATTTTTGGCAATGATCAATTAAATTTATTTAAACGTAAATATAATTAAAATTAAATAATTGAAAGAGAAAGAAAAAGTATCAAAATTTATTGGAAAAAAATAACGTTAACATGTAAAACTATTTGTATAAAAATGTTAATTTTAACAAGATTATTCGTACAATTGTGTTAATATTCATATAGTATTATTCTTATCAATTCGGATTCTGCAAATAAATATAATTCTAATTTTATCAATGATTATATCATTTTATGGCATAATAAACATATCACATACAATGAAATTTATACTTTTGCAATATTTTACGATGCTAAGTTTCAGTATGATCAATAAGTTACAATTTTCTTTTTTGAAAATTTCAACATCAATAAACAATACTTAAAATTTTCTTTTTTTTTTTTTGTTTGAAATCATTTCCTTAAAATTTTACAAAAACCATTGCTTAATAAAAGTTAGCAAAAATTGTTGCTTAATTAATCAGGTGGAAATTTACCTGTAAAATGGACATGATAATTAGTCAATTAACAAAATATTTTCGATAATAATTTAATAAAAATGATTAATGCATAACAGGTAATGCATTTAGCAATTTTTTTCTTTTCTTCTTTTCGGCGTACTTTGTTCCATCAACAATCATCAAATATGATCGCATAATTAGCACATTATGTTAATTCCTGACGATGAAAAGAAAAACGAAAGTATTATTTCACTCAGACATTTTTTTTATTCCTTTTAATTTCCAAATAAGCAGCATTAATACTACCATTAATTATGATAACAATGAACAATTCAACAACCTAAACAATGACAATTAATTTCAAAAAAATAAAAAGTAATGAAAAAAAAAACTTCAAAAGACATCATTACTTTTTCTTTTACTTCTTATTCAAAGAAATAAAAAAAATGAAACTAAAAAAAAAAAATCAAACACTAAAATTAGTACTAAGAATTGATAATATGAAAAATAAAAATGATATGCAAAGTTTATTTCGAACAAGAAAACAAAAAACGAAATGCAAATTATAGCTTAAAAAAAAGTTGTACCTAATTTGTGGATTGTTTTGTTTGTATCATTTCAAATTTAGGCGGAAAAATTCATCTAAGTAAAAAAAAAAATGTGAAAAAAAAAAGAGAAAAGACTGTTTAACATGCATTGTTACAGGCATGAAAAAATGTACCAAAAAAAAAGGAATTAACAAAATTATTAATTTTCCAAATTCTTAAATTTAAAATGCAAAATTTGCATGACAGATGCATACCCGAGAATGCAACGAATTTTGCAAATAATCAACCCACCGTAACACCTTCTCATCAGCGTTACTCCAATCGTATTTTAAATTTGAAAAATTGATATTTAATAGATCCAATCATATATATTTTTTTTGCTGATGAATTCTGATAAATTTGATAAACTATGAATTGGGATTTCCTTTCTTTTCTTCATTTTGCTTTAGAAATCATTTTCATATCCTTCAGCTTTCATTCTTCACAAGCAAGTGATATAAGGTAAAAAAAAATTTTCATGAAACAATTGAATAGAACTGATTACAGTAAATTTTAAATTAACAAGACTAAATTAAAAATAACAAAACTTCAATCGAACATTCGAAGATATGCATTCTTGCTAAAACATTCCAAAAAATTTGTTCGGAAATTCAATTAGTATGAAAAAAATCATTAAGATTACTTCTTTCTTATCTTTATGAGAACTGAAATTCATTCTCTCTTTTCTATTGCATTCTTATAACTGACAATAGGGGCAAAAATAAAAAAAAAAAATGATGGATAATAAATTTGCCACCATAAAAAAAATCAAATCCAAGCTTTTTTTTTGACAATATCATTCAAATAGTTATCTTGCAGATTTGATTTTTTCCTTTTCTTTTTTCATTTTCTGCTTATCAATTATTTTTTCCAATTGTTTGCGTCTCTTCTTTCCTGTCTGTTTTCTGCAAATATATATCAAGATTAAAATATATACAACAGCAGAGTGTAAACAAAAAAAAAAAGTTTTCCGCCTAAAAATATGATAACGATAAAAAACGTTCGTAACTTTTTCTTTCTCTCTTATTTGTATATTCAGTTCAAACAGTTAAACTTTATTTTTATATAAATAATTTTCATGAATCAAAATCGTTTCCGATTGTAAGAATGAATTGAAACTGTTAATGCTAGTTGCATATCTTGCGTACATCGAAGAAATTTTTCTATCATTGTATAAAATTATCATTGATAAAGATCTTACTATATTGTATTAAATTTCCTTTTTACATAATTTAGAACTATAATATTAATAAATAAAATAGGTAAATATATCCAATTCTATTCTTTCACTATCAGTAGATTGCATTTGTAATATTTACTTTTGTTCGCGTTGCATTTTCAGAGTTCTCTCAACTTCATCAGGATCCAATCCAGCAATTAACATTTCTTTTCGCTTATTGATTATTTTCCGTTCACCAAAATTTTGTTGATCTAATTTAATTTCTGCTTCTCGTTTAGTTACTAACACTTGTGTTACGTATTGTGTTACCTATAAATAATAATAAAGTGCTAATAATTTTTTCATTCATTTAAAATCTTCAGATAATTCCCTTTCTCTCTCTTTCTTTTCTTTTTTTTTTTTTTTTTTTTTTATTTCTAAAAGAATGTAATAAAATTAACCTTTTTATCATTGACAACAAGTTTATCTAATTTTTTCTTAATTATTTTTTCAATTTCCTGGAGTAAATATATATCATATTGAGTGACAAATAGAAGTGCGCAACCGAATCTTCCGGCTCGAGCTGAACGACCAACTCGATGTATATAAGTTTTAGGATTTTGTGGTACATTATGATTGACAACTAGATCGACCTAAATTATATATACATATAGTTACAGCTTTAATAATTATGAATTTTTTTGTAAAAATTACAGGATCGACTTAATAATGATAAAAATAATTTATGGAAGAAATTACTGAAAGGAAAAACAATTAATCAAATAGTTTTATTGCTTCAAAATAAAAAGATTATTGAATAAAATGTACAAATCTAAGGGATATGAAAGTTTATAATGCTGAAATTTTTTGTAAATTTCTATCATCTAAATAAGATAATTGTTTTAAACAATCAATAATAATAAGAAAAAAAAAAAAAAAAAACTTACATGAGGTATGTCAAGTCCACGTGATGCAACATCTGTGCATATCAGAATTTTTATGCGACCAGAACGGAATTTGGTTAAAGAAGATGTTCTTTCCTGTTGACTTATCTGAGAATGCAATGATCCAACCTGCAATTTTCCCATAATTTAAGTAATATTTTAAAATTCCATATCAAACACTTGAAAATTCTTGAAATGATTGATATAACAGATCAACTGTTATTAAAAAAGAAATGATTTTTCTTAATAAATAAGAATATAACATTTTTTTTTCTTTCACTAATAAATTCAATATGCAAAAAAGAAAAAAAAAAACCTTGAAACCTAATCCATGAAACATAATTGCCAATGCTTGACATTCTCGACATGTATGTGAAAATATGAGAATTAAACTTTCTGGATGTTTTTCATGAAAATTCTTCACAACATATACCAAATATGCATCTTTTACAGCACATGGGCAAAGCACATATTTTTGCTCCAATTTATCAACCGTAGCAATTTCACTTTTATCTTCGAAAAAATATGGTTTTTTGATAGATACCTAAAATGCAAATAGTAAAACAAATGTAAAACATACAAAAGTAAAAGCAAAAAAAAAAATCGTCCAGCAAATAATTCACTTAATTATTTACTTTTATTTGTCAAAAAAGGAAGAAAAAAAAGAGTTAAAAAAAGAGTTACTTGATGTAGTTGACTTAATGCTGATGTAATTGTAGCACTAAATAATAGTGTTTGTCGTTGTTTTGGTAGAAAAGTTAGGATAGTTTTTAGCTGCAAAATATTTTAGATTAAATACATGATTTCAATAAATATGATAAAAATATTTTTACATCTCAATTATGATCACTGTAATGTTTAAATAATTCCTAGCTTATACAATATTGATTAATGCCTGATGTTACAATTATAATAAAAACAGAGAAAACAAAACAAGAAAAAAGAAAAATAATAATTTTAAATTAAATGTAAGATAACATGAAAAAAATTGACATTTTACTTACTTCAATTGAGTATTGTCCATCTAGAAGACGATCAGCTTCATCAAGCACCAAAAATCGTAATTTCTCAAAAAGCTTTCCAGTATTTTCAGAGTCACTCTCCAAATGATCAGCTAATCGTCCAGGTGTTGCAACAACAATATGAGGTCGTCTAGAAATCACATCTTTTTTCCACTCATTTAAATTTAACATTAACTAATTAATGAAATAATTAAATTTGAAAATATACCTAGCTAAATCACTACTCTGAGCAACACGATCTTTTCCACCTACTATAATACCAATTTTAAGACCAATTGATACACCAAGCGCTGCAAATTGATCACCAATTTGCATTGCAAGTTCTCGTGTTGGTGTTAATATCAATGCACAGATACCATATGGATCAACTGCTAACTATAATGATTAAATATTATATAAATTATATTACTTTAGCAGTTTTTTTTTTTTTTAATGTTTAATATTTAATTTTGAAATTTAAAAAAAAAAAAAAAAAAAGATATAAATAGCATTATGAAATAAATATATCATCTAAAATAATGATACAATTATATAAAATGAAATTAAAAAATTTTACATTATTTTCAAAAAAAATCATTTGGTATATTTAATAATAAAACTACCTACATAAAATTACCCGTAAAAAAAAAAAGAAAATTAAGCAAACCTCATGTAAAATTGGTAAACCAAATGCTAATGTTTTACCCGTTCCAGTTTTTGCACAACCTAATACATCACTACCAGCAAGAATATGCGGTATACAATTTATCTGAAAAAAAATTTCAAGAGAGAAAAAAAAAAAAAACATTAAAATTTAATTGTTTTATTAAAAGTATACTATCTTAAATTCTTTAACAAATAAAAAATAAAAAAAAAAAAACGCTTACAAAATAATCCTTACCTGTACTGGTGTAGGAGTATTTATGGCAAGATGTCGTAATTGATCACAAAGCCATTTACTTAAACCAAGTTCAGAAAAAGTTATTGCTTTCAAAATATTTCCATCCTGTAAAATAAAAATTAAAAAAAAAACTCCCAAAATTCAAATATTATTTTCAAATGTAACAGTAAAATAAAAATAAAAAGACAAACCTTTATTGCTGATGATGATAGTAATAAATTAATTTCTAATTCTTCTGATTCGTCATCATTATCGGAATTATCACAGGAAGATTTTTCAGGTAATTGCTCATCATCATCATCATCCATCTTATAAAGAAAATTCTTTTCGCTATAAAATTTATTTTCAAATAAAACTTTTCAGCGCAAAAATTTATCATTTATTAAAATTCAATTCTTTATAACATATCAGTAAATAGCATCTAATTCTGATATAGTAATGTTAAGAAACAAAAAAAAAAAAAAATTCGCAAATTTTAATATTTCAAACAAACTTCTCCTTCTTATCTTCTCTATAAAAATTTTAGGATAGCTAAATTGATACCTTAATGATTAGAAAACATTAAAGTAATATGTGAAGATAGAAATAACTGATTGAATTGAATAAATTTTACTTTTGCTATCTAGAAACTCTAATAACTTTTATAATTTTGAAAAAAAAAAAAAAAACAAAACAAAACAAAACACATTTAGATATTATAATATAAGTAGCAACAAAAAGAAAGTTTTTTTCGTTTTTGATTTTAATATAAAAGTAAACTAATCAAACAAGAAAAAAAAAAAAAGAAAAAATAAATTAGCAAATAACTATGGTTGTAAAGTAAAAAACAAACAAATGAAATTTTTTTTTTTTTTTTTTAAATCACTTCACACAGATATAAAAAACAGAAAATTGAACAGAAAATTTTGAAGATAACATATGTTATTCAGTTTTATACAATTAAATCTCTTACAAAACGTATGATAAAGAACAAATAACAAACAAATAAATATGATTTAGAGTAAAAATAAAATTCATCTCTTTTTTTTTTTTCTTTTGAAAGGATACAATTCAAAATCATCTAAACTATTGAGTGATAAGCCAATCATAACTACATTATTCAATCAAATGATAAGCCAATCATAATTAAATTATTAAAACAAATGATAAGCCAATATTATCTAAACTATTGAGTGATAAGCCAATCATAACCAAATTATTCAATCAAATGATAAGCCAATAACATCCAAACTACCAAATGATAAGCCAATTAAGCTAAATTATTAAACACTTTGTAAACAAACAAATTATTGTCATTTTATTTGGAAGCTAACCATTGAAATGCATTGTAACGGAGTTATTCTTCTTCTTTTCATAATGAATATTATCATTATTAACAGATTTTAGTAATTAATTATCAATTATTCAACGAAAAATTATTATTATTTATATGATAGCTTATAATAACAATCACTATGTATTAATATTTACAATATGTATTAATTTATAAAACAAAATTCTACAAAACTCTCTTATCACATTTAGTATTAAACAATAATTGTTAAAACAGTTGCACTAGATAAATTTGACTAAACAAATACCTTTATACAGTTAAATTTCTTACAGAACGTATGATAAAGAACAAAGAACAGTTTAGTTAGTTTTTTAATATTAATTAAAGATTTAATAAAAAAAGAAAAACACTAGTTTTACTATTATTTTTTAAAATTATCATTACTATTATTAATAATCAGCATAATGTTTGGGACAATTTGCCTATGTTATAAATTGATAATATTTTTAACAAAAAATAAAACCGTTGCAAATATGAAATTTTAAAGTAATAAAAATGAAATCAAAAATGCTAAAGTAGAGCCACTCATTTCTCTCTCTTTTTTTTTTTTTCTGGAAGATTAGCTGATTAATATATCACTCTCTGAATATCTGATACAGCGATGAAAAGTAGTAATACATTGTTTCAATTAAATTTATTATCAGAAAAGCATTTAATTGAGATAAATAAAAACAATTTATACACTGTGTATATTGAACAATCAAACTTTAACAATTAAATTTTTGGATAATGCAAATATTTTGCATATAACAATTTATTATTCAAAACAAAATTCATTCTTTTTTTTTTAGAGCTAAATCTTTAAAATTAATGGACATAAAGATAAATGAATGTTCAATACACTCCCAATATCACTCCAGTATTAATCATTAAAGCAACATTTTTGCACTTCTTAAAATGGTCTCTCTGAAGGCAAAAAAAAAGCTACTCAAATTGACTTATATTAAAAACTTCAATTTTATTGATACATATATACAACAGATTTCTATTTAACATTTCAATTGCCTTTTCATTTCTCTTAAAATTGATGATAGGGAAAAAAAAAAAAAGAAAAAAAAAAAAAACCAAATTCTAAAATATTTAAGCATTCGATCTTGTTAGCTCAAGTTTACGATCCATATAACAAAGTTTATTCGTTACTTCATCCCAATCCACTTTTCCATTTGGTTTTCGTGGTAATTTATCAAGTTTTTGTTTGCTAAAAAAAAAAATAATACAAATATTAAATTTTGTTAGCAGAAAGTTAACAACAAATAAAAACTTAAAAATGACATTATATGTTAATAAAACATTAATTATTACATTATATTAAATAATAGTAATGAATATCTACAATATAACAAGTTTATTTGCTTTTTTTTTTTTGTTCTTCTTTGTCATAAATTATCACATTGAAAGACTTGTAAATTAACTATTAATTTGTGACAAAGATTAATTTTTATCAATTTTATGATAAAAATTACGAATAATATCGATATGAAAAAATCATGAAAATGTTCATTGGATAATAAATAAGCTATATTATTTAAAATTATATATTTAAATATTATTTTAAATAAGTACTATTGTATAAACTTACTACATAGTGCGAAAATTATTGCGTCCTCTTTTTGCCCATTCATCTGCCTGATAAATTGGCTCTGGTAATGAAACAGCTGATGTGATAATTTGATGACTGTAGCAAAGAGCATTGATAAATGCTTGCAACTCATCCATTTCCATATTAGCTTCATTCACTAATATCGTATAGGCTGGAATTTTTCCAGTTCCCTTGAAAAAAAAAAAATAAATAATAAAATTAAACAAAAAAAAAAAATTCAAACTAAATTAAACTTTAGATTTACTACAATCTTCTTATCTCTATCAAGATTACTTATTCTAAATGCAATTTATAAAAAAAAAAAAAAAAAAAACCTTTTCTAGTGTACATGGAAATTACCAAGTAATAATAATAATAATAAAAGTACAGAGATCAACAATTTGCTTAACATACTTTTATCACTTTGTGTGATTGCATAAAAATTTCCGTTGCATCAACACGTGTTATCGTATGATCAATAACTGTCCCAGGTAAACAATTTTGAATTTCTCCTGGCAAAAAAAAAAGGCTAAGTTAAATTTCAAAAAAATATAATTTTAGATAAAAAGTGCACATAAGCTTAAAGAATTGAGTTGTAGAGAAGTCATTTTAATTACAATAAATAAATTTTAATATACGCAAATTAAGCATGAATTTGCATAAATTATACTAATCAATTAAAACTTTTCAAAAAATATCTATCACTAACTACAAGACAGAGAGAGAGAGAAAAAAAATTTCAAAAATTTTTTCTCTCTTACCTGACTACTTCTACTACACATAAAATGATCTTTTTTACAATATCATTTACTGTAAACATTCTAATTCTAAAAGTTATTCTTAACATTTGACATTTTGACAACTCAAAATTTATATAAAAATAAGCAAAAACTTGATTTGACCTTTTTTAGTTTCAATAAAGAAACGTTTGTTGTGACGTTTTACAGCAATCAGAAGGACTATTTTTGGTTTATATGTTGGTTTCTTATAAAAATCAGCATAGTTTTGTATTCCAGCACGTAAAGCTTCCAATTCATCCATCATCACCTGAAATATTCCAATGAAATAAATAAATATAAATGCATTATGGCTAAAATTAGTAGCTTTTATTTTTGTTAACTATTAACATATTACTAGCATTATGATGATTTATCTTTTCATCATTATGATAAAATTTAATTAAATTTTACAAATTTTTAATCTTATATTCAATTTTTTTTTTCATTTCTTTCATCTCTTTTTTTTACCAAATCAATTTCTATTTTCTATTCTAAAAAATTATAAAATTTACCATTTTATGTTGTCCTTCTGAGACACCATCACGTGTGACAACAATTAATGTCGGTAACTTAGAACGCATTTCATGAAATAATTTCAAAATATGAAACATTCGACTTTCAAGAATGGAACTAGTGACTTGTTCCTGTCTTGGTTCATGAAATGCATAATCTCCTATGAATGTTTCCGGTTCCTTCGCAGCATTAAATGAAAACTATAATTAATTTCAAATTAGCTTATAATCAGAATATACTTTTACATTAAATCAAAAAAAAAAAAAAATTACATAGCAAATAAATATCTCTCACTCCCCCTATCTTTTTTCTTTTTTTTTTTTTTTTTTTTTTTCTTTTTTCAAAATTTATCTGAAGTATTCATTCTTAATTAAAAAATATGCACAGAAAAAAAAAAAAAAAAGATAAAACTCACTCCAATAACACTTGGTTGAGTAGATATTAAATTTAGACGACGTTCAACAGCTGATTGTGGTTCTGGATGACAAACATCATAACCAATAACAAGTGTATTACCACTTGATAACCATCTTTTAATCCTAATGAAACAATTATTGAATAATAAATTAAAATTTAATAATTTTTTTTTTTTGCAATAATTAATGAATTTTAATTTGAAAAGAAAAAGTGACAATAAAAAATTACGAAAATAATGAAAAACTAACGCATAATTTTCTGGTACAGTATGATAATTGTGACCAAAATTTTTAACATTCATTTTACTGACAATATTTTCAAGTGAATGTGACACATTTCTCACAGTGGAATATTTTACATGCTGAGTGACCACTTGATAAAGTGCTTCATATAGTTTAAGTTGATCTTAAATATAATTTTAATTGTATTATCTTAAAATATAATTTTTTAAATTGCATATTGTCTTAAGCGAACACCCAAAAAATTCTTAGAAACATTCATTAGAGTAATATAATAATACTACAAATTATTACAACTATAATAATCATTTAATTTAATACCTTAATATACTTAACATAATTGTAAATATCAAAATTTCATTTGATTTTTTCACAAACAAAACAAATTTAATTCCAGTTTTTGAAAAAAAAAATATTAATTCATCAAATTATTCTCTTTTAATTAGTTAACTAAACCATTCATACTACAAATTAACTAATCAACTTGGTTAAAGTTTTCAAAAAAAAAAAAGTGATCAATGAATTACATAAAACATCGAAATAATAATTATTGCTCTAATTAATACACTTACCATGAGTATATTCTTGATTGTCAACATACATGAAGAAATTTGTTTCTCCAGAAGATTCCATTACCACTTTTTTAATATTTGCTTCCAATTCATCTGGGCAAACTTTCTTTTTGAGTTTTTTATTAAAAGTAATACCTCTTTTTTCTGCTGTACTACAAACTGAATGGAAGAAATTCCTGAAAATAAATATTTTAATTAAAGAATACAAACTATCGAATTAAATTCTTAGAGAATAAGAGAAGATACTTATGAATAGAAGATTTGCCATATTTCGGAAAATAAATGAATGCTAATTTTCTCCCCTTCTGATTTCATTGTTACTTTTTTTTTTTATATTTAATAGAGGTCAATCAAACAATATTTAATTAAACAATATAAGTAGGTATGAATTTCATTTATAAGACAGTATCTCACAAACAAGCACGAAACAACTGATAGTTTAAGCTAAACTAAGATAATTTTATGGATTCAAATTTTTTGAAAGGATATAAATTGAAACTAGAAAAATCTTTATTCATATCTTTATACTTACCTATATTGTTTGATCGACTTCTGCTCACTGAGAGAGTAGAGAAAATCAGATTTTTTTTTTTTTTTATTATTTGTTGCTAAGATTATTATTATTATGTAAAATAATCAATCCTCACTATCATGAATCAATTCTATATTTAAAAAGTAAGCAATTTTTTTTCTCTTTTTTCTGGAACAAATATCTCAAAAATATTTTGAACTGAATTAATTACAGAGATATTTCTCTATCTTTTTCTATAACATACTGCTTCTTAATGTTTAAACATATGAAACTTACATTATGACATTTTCATTGCAATCCCTATCATAAAACAAATAAAAATTATCAATTTTTGCTGGAATTGTAAACTGACTATTTCCAGCGTTCCAGCTAGCCTAAAAAATTAAATTTTCAAAAAAAAAAAAAAACAAACAAACAAACAAAAATTATACTAACAGTATAAGAGAAGAAAGTTTTTACATAGAAAGAATTTTTTTTTATTTATCTAGTCTTCCTTTGTCATTTTTGCTGCAATTTTTTGAGATAATAAAAAAACTAACCTTAAAATTGAAAAGAAAAGAAAAGAAAAAAACTTAAAACACTTTAAATGATGAACAATAAAAATGATGCATTTTTTTTTAACCGTACATTAAGAGTTTAATACCTTATCTGGTGCAACATTCATGAAACATTTCGGACTGTAAGAAATTTGTGGTGGTATACGGCGATTAGCTTCAACCTGAAATAAAACATAATTTTTCGTCATCTATTAGATAATGTGCATATCATGTAATATAGTTCATATAAAAACTTATTTGTATATGTAAATTATAAAAATTCAAATTAAAAAAAAAAAAAAAAGAGAGAGAATTTAATAATTCAATAAAATTTACCACCATTGGGCTTTTACTAATTCGAATACCGAATGATGCTAAAATTGGATTGAATGTGCTTTCACTCAAATTTAATGCTGCCATATGTCGTTCTATTTCTTCATGTCGTATATGTGGAGCTACAACTGAACTCTAAAAATCATAAATTTTAATGACTGAAGCAAAATTTTTATTTAATTATTAATTGCTATCATCAAATATTGCCATTTTTGTACATTACAAAGCTAACAAAAATATTTTATGCAAATTATGAATTTAAACAATTACTGCTGTAAGAAAAGTAAAAAAAAACAAAAGTGTTAGTTTCGCAAACATTCGTTTATATACAAAAATGGAAAATTGATTGATCACTCGAGCGAATGAAGAAAAGTAAATTTGTATTTTGAAATGAAAATGGATAAAATAGTTTCGATAAAGATTACAGAAAAGAAAAAAAAAAAAAAGAAAAAATGAAGAATGAATTGAAAACATTGCAAATATTGAAATTTTACCTTCATTACAGTTAGCCTTTGATCTGATCGAAGCTTTGAATCTGGAACTTTTTGATTTGGAGTAACATATAAAATTTCAAAAGGGAAAAAACCTATACCAGAGCGTGATTTGATAACAACAGCCGGCAAATCAGGCCTGCAAATGTATGTAAAATTAACAAAATTCAATTGGATTTTTTAACTTAATGACAGTACCATTAAAAAGATTGTCATTTAACAATTGATAAATTTTAAGGAATAAATGAAAATTAACCTGATATTAATTCCCAATCTTTTATATGCTTCCGTTAGTGGTGGCATTCGCCCATTTCTATAAGCAAAAATTTCGTTACAGTAGCAAATAACCACCAACACCATATTTAGTTTTTTAGTCTAATTAATAAGAATTCAATTTCTGCCCTTCATCATAATAAAGTTCTAGTCATTTGTCTTTTATTTTTCTGCTCTCTTTTTTTTTACTCTTATTTATATTTATCATTTTTGCCGACAATTTTTTTAATGGAATTCCTTATTCATCTCGATTTACTGCTAAAATTTATAAGAATTCTAATATGAATCTATTATTTATTCTAAAGATCAGCATCAAGTGATGAAATGGCAAATAAACTAATTAAACTTAAGCACCTAAGATACATCACCGGTTGCTTGGATAAGCCATTTGCAGTGAATGTTTTAGTATTATTTGAGCGAAGAAGACGAAGACCTGAAAGAAAGATAAAAAGTATATTTCAAACATATGTGGCTTCTAGTGAAATTTTGAGCTAAAATCACAAATAAATGACTTTAGCTAAAAAAAGGAACCTGAAGTTTCTAGATAAAAATATAATATGGTGGAGTTTTATTTCTGCAAGAAATAATTATTGGGAACTAATTTATTATTAACTTTTACATTTTTTTTGGAGCATAAATATGACGAAAACATTAAATTTCTCATTCATTAGAAATAATTTTTATTCCTTTACCCTTGATGATTGGTTCAGTACGATGTATAAAATCTTGAAATTTTCTTCTATCCAAATTAGGAATAGATGGATTTGGAATTCCTGGCGTATATAATTCAGCAGCAAAATCCATCAATGATTCCTCATTGAAGAATGGTGTTTTCTTTTCTAAAAATAATAAATTATTCGTTTTTTAGAGAGAAGAAAGAAAAAACTATTTTCAAAGTAATTCTAAAATTTAAAAGTCAAAGTAAATCTAAATTATTTAATAGCATAATACATACCATCAAGTACTAATGCTGGAACTAAACCAGTTGTCTGGTTACCCTCCACAAAACGAACACTTTTATCGGCACCAGCTAATATTTTAACTCCACTTTTCAATTTAATGTTGTTTTTTTCTTGATATAATCGACCATAACCAAATGAGAAATACAGTCCACTGAAATAAGAAAACTCAACGCTATATCATTTATATTATTTTAACATCAAATTTGTGCACAAACAAGATGAAATAAACAAGTCATACTTCTATTAACAATTTAAAATACTATTAAAAAAAAAAAAAAAAAAATGATAAGTTAATATAGCCATCATTCAAGTAAAAATCATTGAAAATTAAACGTATAGCCAAAGCAAAACGAAGAAATTACACTATTATAATTTTTTAAAGAATTTCTAAAACTTAACCTTCGTAAACCATGTTGATTTGTTAAAATTTCATAAAACTGGCGCAAAGAGTGATCTTGAGCCAATAAATTAGGTGTAATGGATGAATTAAAATCTGTTGTTTGAAATGAACGAGCATATTCTCGGCATTCACTAATATGTATACTTATCCTGACATTACTACCAAACATTTGTTGCAATTCCTGTACATTACTGGACGATATAGTAATTTCAGACACCTGAAAACAATACATATTAACTATTCAAAAGAATATTTGGATTTTCTCATATATTTTACTTTTTGCAAATAACATTAATGCAACTTCTAGAAAATTATATACTCAACTGACACATTTAAATAGTAAAATTATTAATATGCTAAAAGCTTATCGAGGATTTTTCTTTTCTTACAGTTTTATGACTAATCACAAAAAATATATAAATCTAAAAGTTGAGAAATGAATAAAACTTACAAACCTTATAATTTTAAATAAACAATCATTTTACTTAGAAACCGGTAAAGATTCTTAATTTCATTCAAATTGAATAACTTAATAACAGTTTTTTCAATAAATGCTATTTATAAAAAATAAGTGCTTCAGTTATTTCTTTCATTTCATTACACTTACCTCCTTTAAGTCTAACGGTTGATTAGTGAATAATGTGCTTGAAAAATCATATGCATATGCAAATTCATTAAGTTGTCGATATCTTCTCAATGCCATATCGATTAAAAGCATACATTTTTTAGCTCGATAAGGACTAAATAATATATATGTAAACAAGAATAATCTTTTTTTTGTAATTGTCTAAAAAAAAAAAAAAACTCATATGCAAATAATGCAAAACAAGAAAATATTTACTCTTGTTTTCCACGACATAAGTCAACTTTTGTAGCATTTGCAGTATGAGGTTTTCCGGAACATGCTTCGATATGTACATCATAACGATAAACAGTACGATCCGTTATTTCTAGGGCATAAACATTCGTTTTTACAATAACTTTTTGCTGTATTTTTGCTGGCGGTAATCGTGGAAATATGGTACACTGAGAAGCAGTTGATGAATTTCTGAAAGCAGAATCTATTTCGCTTATAATTTGACAACAACAAAAACCATTTTTTTTTTTTTTTTTTTTCTACTCTTTGAGAGAAACTGTAACGGTTAATATTGCTCACTTGTATAATATCATTCATAAAGAAAAGAAAAAAAAACTAAAATTTTGAACCTTGCATTCTGTTGAATATTTTGATCATGCGATAACTGTGATAAGATATTTCGGGATGAAGAATTTGAGTTATTCTAGAATGCAAAAGAAAAATTTTTTTTTTTAAATATAATATTGAATAAAAGTAATTTTTACTCGTAAGCACACTATTATGAAATGCAAACTTTTGAGATTTTTCAAAGAATCGTGACACTATGATTTTGAGAAAAAGCTTAAAATCGTATAAAAATGAAATTTTGTGATAATAAAATAATCCTTTTCTAATTAACGAGATCGAAGCAAAAAGCTAACTATAAGTCACTAATATAGAACTCTACTTATAAATTATCGATTTTTATTAAATCACGAATGCTATGAAGTATTTTTTCTTTCAATAAATGATACCATTTAATGCTTTACTTAAGTAACTGATAACGATAACAGAACCACAACTTACTTGTGATCCCAAATTTCGTGAATGAATCGATGAATTAAATGCATTTGGATTTTCATCTGAAAAAAAAAAAAAAGAATTACGAATTAATCAATTTCTAATTTAATAGCTGTAAATTGGACGTACACGGAAAATTGGTCCTATAACAATTTATTTAAAACTATAAAATTTTAAAAAAAATAAAAACTATAGAAAAAAAATAAAAAATTTATAAAAAAAAAAATCTGTCGATAAGAAAGAAAATGAAACATTTTTGGGATGAAAAATCTCAAAATGCTTTTTAAATTCAATCGGTTTAATTCTGAAAATTACATCAGTGGTAAAAAAACGTATAGAAGTCTAAAATTTCTATTGACAAAAAAAGAAAATATATTTATTACAAATAATATATATTATTCTCACCGATACGTCGTGAAATATCCAAATTTTGGTTATTTAAATGACGTTTTGGATGACCTCGACCAACCATTGTATTTTATATCTAAAAAAAAGAGAAATATCTGAAAACACAGATGTGATTATTACTTAGAATATGTAAACATAACAACAACTTTTCTACGATCAAATGAATTTAACACAATATTCACATGACTTCTCTCTCTTTCTCTGTTTTTTCTTATCTTGGAATCTAATAGAAGTTAACTGAACAGAAATGATAGAAATATATTAATTTAAGAGCTAACAGTGCAGATTTTCATCAACATAATATTACATATATAAATCGACCGCTAGAATAAACTTAAATATATATCTAATAAATATGCAAACATTTCATTATTTTTAATCCTATTTTTATTTAAATCTGAAAGAAATCTAACATTTAAAAATTTTTCATCAATTTTAAAATCTTTCTTAATTTTCTTTTCTTTTTTTCTCTCTCACTTTAAGCTTTTAATTTTTTCCTTAATTCATTTTTTTTTTTTCTTTTCACTATCCATTTTATTTTACCAAAGATTTTTATCCTTTTTCTTAATATGAAATATGAAAATTTACCAACGAGAATTATAAACATATGCCAAAAACTAATTTTACTTACTCTAAAACAATAACACATTACCTAACTTACTTATTTCACGTTACACGTTATTACGGCAAATTGTGAGGTTCAATTTGCCAGAGTACATTTCGCATCAAAGTAGGATGTTCCGATTTTTTTGTTTTTCTCTTACGTTTCGTGTTACTTACGTCACTTACGATGGTATCGTTCATTTCTAAAATTAGGAAAATAACAGAAAGATTTTTATGCTATATATGAATGGTTGAATATGACAATGCTTTTGTGTTACGAAAAATATGAGAAAAATTTCACGTCTCTTACACGTTTCATCGTCCTTTCCGTATGCCTGTCTCGTATTCTCCTCATTTCCAGAATGATTTCCTAACAAGTATACGTGTTGTGCATGTATGTAATGTGTGTGTGTCTGTGTGTGTGTCTGTGTGTCATGTATGTATGTATGTGTGTGTGTGTGTGTCTATATGTGATTATTATTATTTATTATTATTAGTTATTATATTATCATTTATTATTATTAGTTATTAGAGTATTATTATTATTAGTTATTATTATATATTACTTATTATTGTTATTATTTATTATTACTAGTTACTATATTAATATTTATTATTATTATTTATTGTTGTTGTTATTATTATTTGTTATTATTAATTGTTATTGATTATTGTTACTAGTAAATTATTTATTACTATTATTATTATAAAAATGTTATTGATTATTGTTACTAGTAATTACGAGTAATGGTATTATCAATTTAGTATGTTTATAACGATAATTCATCCGGATTTGGGTATCGGAGGAGCGGAAAGATTGGTTGTGGATGCAGCGATTGCAATGAAGCAAAATGGTCATCGAGTACAATTTGTGACAAATCATTTCAATCCGAAGCATTCATTTCTGGAAACCAAAGAATTTGGTTAAATTTTAATTAATTTTAATTTTACATTACTTATTATAATTAATGATGAGTTATTTAATATAATTAATGATTGCTTAACTTGTTACTGTTGAATAAATTATTGATATAAATTATTAATAACTAAAAGTCTTGCAAGCAGCAACAAATTTTTAGTAAAAAAATTTTAATTCATTAGAATTTTTCATGCATAATTTATGAAGAGATAATTTTAATAACTCATTGAAACAATATGAGATTATTATTATCAGCATAATATTAGTAGATGGAAGAAGTAGAATAAATCAAATGTTTTGAACTCCACAACTTTTTATTATTGATTATTGCTACTAGTAATAGTAACAACAACGACAAAAAAAAAGAAACATTTTATTATTTCTACGAAGGTTTTTTTTTTTTTTTAATTCATTGATGTGCTAAGAAAGATTTCCTTTTTTAGTTCTCAAAAAAAAAAAAAAAAAGTTGCAAAAAAAGAAATCATTCGACTATTATCTAGTAAAGTGAAATGAGAAAATGTTATTGAATCCGATTGCATTATTGCAACGAAGTGTTTTCTTTTTATTTATTAATGTACCGAAAAAGATTTTCTTTCATGGATTACAAAAAATAAAAATTGCATGAACATTGAGACTAAAAATAAATTGGTCAGTTTTTATTCACATCCAAAAAATCACTAATTTTTGCATGGATTAATTTCAGGTATCAAAGTTGTTGATGTATTTCCACGATCAATTTTTGGATTTGGACATGCTTTATGTGCTTATATTAGGATGTGTATTGCCGCTCTATATATTTGCATATTTTTAAAAAGAACAGAACTTGTCTTTTCTGATTCTGTGAGAATTTTTTCTTTTTTGATTTAGCAAAATATTAAGCTTACTATCATCATATTTTAGAAGAATACAATTGGATCTATTTTTTTTTTTTTTAATCTTATCTTGTTTTGTAATCTTATTATGCTGTAGCAACTTTTCATAATGTTCTTTGTCATTTTATTTGAAATGTTTTTATTTGCTAATTGTGTTTTAATGTTGAAATTTATGATTTCAATATACTAAGTAATTTATAATATTTTCCAGATCTCTTCATGTTTGTTGATTTTTCGGATATTTCGATTACTTGGTTTATTCAATGCACCGGTTATTTTCTATTGTCATTTTCCCGATCAACTATTAACAACGAGGGAAAGTATGATGAAGAAATTCTACCGTGTTTTTGTTGATTGGTTTGAAGTAAGCTTACCTATGATCATATTTGAGAAGAATAAAATTCTGATAAATGCATCTACTAGTGGAGTTTATTTGCTTACTATCAATTTTTAGTTTCTTTTTTTTAAAAAAAAAAAAAAAAAAGATAATGACTGCAAAATATTGGTCCGACGATATATTATCAACCAAATCCTTTCTTTTCTTGCTGTTTGATTCATAGTCTGTAGTGAGGCACAAAGTTTTCATTCGAAATATCCAGCACATTGTATGAAATACATATTTTGCATATTTTAACTATAAAGTAAATAACTTTTCCATTCCAATTCTCATAGTTTGAAAAGTGGGGAATTTGAAATTTAACTTTCCAGCCACTCACATTTTTCATATAATTTTTAGACGTGGACAACAGCAATGGCAGATTTAATTTGTGTGAATAGTGAATTCACAAGAAAAACTGTGAGTGAAACATTTCCATGCATTCATGCTCAAAGTATTCGTGTCCTTTATCCGACACTGAATACCAAATTTTTTGATAGCGATGAAATAACTGAATTAAATGAAATTCCAAATAAAGCACGGCATATTTTCGTATCAATCAATCGGTATGAAAGGAAAAAGAATATTGGCCTTGCATTGGAAGCCTTTAGTTTGTTTTTCAAATTTTTCTTTCTCCAATATTTATAAAGATATGCTTTATGTTACAGAAGAATTAATTAGAGTATACAAAATTCATCGAACTCAATAATTCATCGAAACTTAGTAACTCAATCAATTTTAGGTTTACTTCGAGAAAAAATTCCAGAAGATGATTATCAAGATTGTTTTCTTGTAATTGCTGGTGGTTATGATACTATGAATGATGAAAACATTGCACATTTTGTTGAATTGCAAAAAAATGCAATTGCATTAGGCTTATCCAAAGAGCAGTATATATTTCTAAAATCACCAAGTATGTTTTTAGTTATTTATTCACTTTTTTTTTTTGCGAGAATATGAAATTCGAATATTCTATTATTTATTACACTAGAAATTTGATATTATAAATCATAGTTATTCAAAAAATTCACTACTATAGCTGACATGGAGAAACTGGAGTTATTGAGGCGTGCAACAGCAGTACTATATACACCAACCAATGAACATTTTGGTATTGTACCAGTGGAAGCAATGTATATGAAATGTTGTGTAATTGCATCAAATAGTGGTGGACCATGTGAAACTATTATTAATGATGAAACAGGATTTTTGGTAATGGAAAATGCAAATTCATTTGCAGAAAAGATGGCAATTCTTATCAAAGATGAACATAAAGCAATAGCTATGGGTAATGCTGGTCGTAAAAGAGTTGAGAGTGTTTTTGCGATGGATAATTTTGTTGTACAATTAGAAAGTTTGATACGTGAAGTTGTATCTGATGTTTATAAATAGGGTGCGATGGATAATTTTGTTGTAGGACTGGAAAGTTTGACACGTCAAGTTGTATCTGATATTTATAACTAGCGTATGATGGATAATTTAACGTAAAAAAAGAAATGTCATCATGTTTGATAGAATTAGTAAGATCAAAAAAAAAGAAAGAAAGAAGAAAAGAATAATCTAAAAATAAACAAAAATATATAATTTAATTGTTTAATTTATTTGTAACTGTTAAAGATTATTTGTTGGATGAGGTGTCTTTTTTTTTTTTTTTTTGTTCATTTACGGTGAAATTGTACTTCTTAACGAATGTATGTTTTTTACATTTTTACATTAAACACCAAAAATTAGTGGCATTTTAAAATAAAACAAGAAATAGAAAGAGTGAGAGAGAGAGAGAGAGAGAGAGAGAAGAAGAAGAAGAGTAAGAAGTTTACAATTTTCGTTTTTTAAAATCATTGCCTTTTTTTTTCTGTGTTCCTTTTCGATAAAAATAATTGTCATTTATATTGTGAAATTATTGCCCCCTCCTTATGTGTAATTTAGCTCTTTTTCCCCTTTTTTCTTCTTTATTATTCTTTTAAATTTACTTTTATTCTTTCTATGAAAACTTTTTTGTTAAAAATTTTTGTTTGCTTTCATTTCTTTTTCATTTTCATCTTTTTTTTTAACTTTTTTTTTTGTTAATTAAAATGAATAAATGTTAGATGGTAGAAATGTAATAGTGCGTAACAAACATATAAAAAGCAATCATTTCTACCAAATTATTCATACATTTCATATGTTTTAAGTTAGTTATACTGATTAATGTTTATGTTGGCAATTCTTTTCTTTTTGTACGTTCTATTTATTTTCATTTAAAAAATTTTTTTTCTCTTCGATTAAAATATCACTGTATTATATTAAATTAATAATTATATAAGTGTATTACACGTATGCATTCATTTTTTATATGAAATATTACAAAAATAATTGAAAAAATTAATAAAAAATTAAAAGTTGATATATTTTAAATGTATTACAGATATTTTACTTTTTATTGAACGTACAATAATTTCACTTCTTATTTACGTACATATTTTACGTTCTTGTTACGTATTTGTAAACGTCTAACACTGATGATATATACCTAATTCACGCATTAGACGTAACAAGTGTTATAAATTCAGGAAGTTTTTTTATTGATTTTTTTCTAGATTTATTCTTATATTTTAGACATTTACAATTAGAATAGTTAATATTTATTTGATATTACTTTTTTTTTTTTTTTTTTTCAGGAAATTTATTCATTTTATTTGGCATTAGTATTATTTCAAGCAAATTCTCGTTTTATTTGAAATATTATTTCATGAGATTTTTTTTATTTGAAATTTTATTTGAGATACTGTTATTTCATAAAATATTTCATTTTATTTGAGATATTATTATTTCATGAAAATTTTTCATTTTATTTGGGATATTAAAATTATTATCATTGTTATTTCGACCTATTTAATTTTATTATTTTATTTTGGAGATATTTAATTAACAATTATATCATTACTTTTTCATTCTACTTTGAAACAGAAATTAAAAAAAAAAAGAAAAAGAAAGTCAACTATTCATATTATTAAGTTAATTTTTGTTCCTGAAATTTCTAATTTAACTTTGTCTTTCTTTCTTCTTTTTTTTCTTTTTTTTTTTTTTTTTTGTTTTCATTAAATTTTAGAAATATCTGAAATTTTATAATCATTTAATTATTCCTATAGGAAAAGAAAAAAAAAATCCAATAAACAGTATTATTTATTTCACTCTCAAATCTATTAATTGTAATTAGCTATAAAATGTGCATAATAATATGATACATTTATAAATTAGCCATCTGCGCTAATCAAAAATATTATACAGATACTTTTACAATTATTCAATTCTAAAATTTAATTTAATTTTACTTTTTCTTGTAAAATATACTTGTTGTATCCTTAGTGATAATTGAGATACAATTTTATATTACATTTTAACTCTTTTATGATATTTTTACCTGTGATATTTCTCCCTTTCTCTGTCCCTCTCCCTCCCTCTCTCTCTCTCTCTCTCCCTCACTTATTGTTTAAAATTGTAGAAATAAAAGGAAATAGTGGTGTCATCATTGTTAAAGATTACATTGCATTTTCTCATTTTTCTTCTTTCTCTTTCTCTTCTACCTTTCTCTCTCCCTCTCCCTCTCTGTTTCCTTCTCTCTCTCTCTCTCTCTCTTTGTTTGTACCCTTTATGTAGCATTTGCATCGATTTATACATATGTCACATTTGCCAGCTACCTAACAACAAAAATTTAACGATAATCAATGACACATTTAAAAATTGGCTTTAATTCAAAATTTAATCAATGCTACGTCATTTTAATTAAATTAATTTTTCTTTTTTTTTTCTTTTATAATATTTAGATATTAATTTTTCTTTTTATAATATTTAGATAATATTTAGGATAATTTTTTTTTTTCTTTGATTTTATTTTTCTCATTGTTTTAATATATTATATTTTTGTTTATTTTCACATTTTCACATGTGATAGATAAATTTTATATCATTCTGATAGTTCTCAATAAATTCATTTAGTTTTTTTTTTCTCTTTTTTTTTTTTCTCATAATATTTAGCGCAATTATCATTTTTCATTTTAAATGATATATATTGGCAATCATAATGAGATATTTTTTAAACAAATAATTGATGTCTTTTTTTTTTTTCCTGTTAGAATGTATTAATTTGTGTGTAGAATTAATTGTTTTGATTATAAAATTTATTTGATAAAATTTTATTTTAATAAATGAGATAAAAAATTGATAGTGAAAAGATGATTGGAATGTTATAGTGCCTATGAAATATTAAATAGTATTAATTAATTTCTCCCTTTCTTAATGATACTAATTGTTTTCATACTTCGATTTGATATTTTGTTTACATAAATGTTATATATCAATGGGATCGATGTATTATTTGTATAAATTAATGTCGCAGGAAGAAAAGAAAATGACACTTGCTGGAAGTAAAGCATTTATTGGTCAACCAGCACCTAATTTTAAAACAACAGCTGTTGTGAACGGTGATTTCAAGGAAATTTCACTTGGTCAATTTAAGGGAAAATATGTTGTTCTCTTCTTTTATCCTCTTGATTTGTATGTTTTACCTTTTTTTTTTCTAGCAAAAATATTTTTTTTTTCAATTAAAAGAAATATCATTTTCAAATATATTAATCATTGTCTATTTTTTTCTATTTTTCTAAAACTTTTTTTTTTTTAGTGTTATTTACAGAAATAAACGGAAAAAGAAAAAATGTGTTTCTTTTTTTTTTGTTATATATTTGTTAAATATTTATCATTATATTCTTTTTTTTAGCACTTTTGTTTGTCCAACGGAAATAATTGCATTTTCTGATCGTATTGCGGAATTTAAACAATTAGATGTAGCTGTTATGGCATGTTCAACAGATTCACACTTTTCACATCTTGCATGGGTAAATACTGATCGAAAAATGGGTGGACTTGGTCAAATGAATATACCAATTTTGGCTGATACAAATCATGTAATAAGTCGAGCATATGGTGTACTTAAAGAGGATGATGGAATTGCTTATCGGTATGTGTTAGAAATATTATTAATATTATATCATTTGATATATTTGAAAAGATTAGATTATTGTAAGTAGTTAATTATTTGTATAAGTTTAATCAAATGCATAATTTATTATGAGCCAGTGTATTCTTCAATTTATTCTTTTATTCTAAAAGCTTAATTATTATTGTTTATTTGAAATGATTGAATAGCATCTGAAAATTAGATCATCTTTATATAATGTTAACTAAGTTTAGCATATTTCAGTGGATTATTCATTATTGATCCAAAAGGAATTTTGCGGCAAATCACAATTAACGATCTTCCAGTAGGTCGTTCTGTAGACGAAACTTTACGTTTAATTCAAGCTTTTCAGTTTGTTGACAAGCATGGTGAAGTAAGTTTTCTCTTGTTAAAAGAAAAAAACAAAAAATGTCGCATCATTTCAGTTACACAGAAAGAATGGAGAAATTTTGAAATAGCAGTGCTTTTGATGATAACTAAATAGTCTGTAACTTTAATTGGACAGCTGTATTAATTGTTTTACATGAGTTATCTTATAAATATATATATATATATATAAGAATTGATATTATTAATCTATATTTGTTAATTTCATGCATAAATTAGCATTGAAACAATTTACACATATTTTATTGGAAATGATTTTAAGGTATGTCCTGCTAATTGGCATCCAGGATCTGAAACGATTAAGCCTGGTGTGAAAGAAAGTAAAGCATATTTTGAGAAACATTAAAAACAAAAAATGGTTGTACGACATGGAATTACTCAGTGGATTTTTTTGATTAAATATATGCTGAAGTAATATTAACAAAAAAAAAAAAAAAAAAAATACTCAAATATTAATTAAACTTTATCATACATAGATATGTTCAAGTAATATTAGCAAAAACATACTCATTTTTTAATTATATTCAATCATACTTTTTTTAGTTTTTACAGAAATTTTACATCGATATTTACATCTTTTGTTGTTGATACTCTCTCTTTTTTTTTTATTCTTTCTCTCTTACACATACATACATTTATTTTTTTATTGAATAAAGTTTTGATATCGATCTCTGTTTCTTACATGACATCATAAATAAAGACGAAATTCCTACAGTAAATAAATCACATTATAATTTTAATAAAACTTTTCTCTTTTTGAATGATACAATATGATTAATAAATTTAGAATTTTTTTTAAGAAACAAAAAGATAATGTGATATCTGAGAATGCGCAAATCTACTTATCTAACAAGAATTTTAAAAATATTTCATTATTTAACATCATTTAAAAAAAAGAAAAAAGGAAAATAAAAAGAAACTTTGATGTCATTCGATTATTTTTTAGGATTATTGCTGTAAAGTAATTTCTTATGTACGGATTGATCGTGTATTATTACCCAATGGTACTAAAATATTGTTACGTTTTGTTACGTTTATTACGTTACAATTGCAGTTAAAAATATTTTAAAGAAATTACAATTACAACAATTACTGATTCAGTACATTATTATTTATATGCTTAAGTAAAGTTCAAATAAGTAAACTTTTTATTCAATTGTTCAACAAGTAAAAAATAAAAAATAAACGATCGGATGGGATGAGAGTTTTCACAAAGCTTTGCGAGATTATTTAGTTGGCCGTACGTCAAATGGTACGCTACTGAATGATACGTGTTATCATCTGTTGTTATTTGTTTATTTACTTATTTACACTGACATTTTGTTGTATTATCTTAATTTTGATATTAGATAAACGTAATTAATCACGTGAATCACAATTAATTATATGGTATAATTATGATTCACTTACGTTATATTACAAATAAAATTACATTATAGCAATTTTGTTATATAATTATTACGTTATATTAAATTCAATTTTGATATTAGATAATCATAACTAATTATATGATATATAATTTTATCACATTATACAAATGGAATTACGTTATATAATTATTACTTATTAAATTCAATTATTTTGTATTATACGTGTTTATTTGCAGAACGAATAATAATAATAATTTTCATTTATATAAATTTGATAAATACTTATTTTAGCGTACGTGAATTCAGTCATACTTGTTACATTGTGGAAATTTTTTTGTAACGCTGATATTACAGATGAATACATGATGGAAAATTATCTTTAATTTCTATTTATTAAAGAACAAAATGGATATGTTAAAATTGGCTTAGTAATACTTTTTCTGTCATACAACTTCGATTTGGTTTATTTATTATTTTGGTATAGAAATTTTGTTAACGTAATGGGACAGTAATATAATAAAGGTATGCTAGGTTGAGATATTTAATAGATAGATACACAGGTGAGGTACATTTTAATATATTTAGGTTGAGAATAAATTCAATAAAATATATTCTGAATAAGTTTGTTAAGGTGTTTTTTTCTTGCAAAATGTATTCATTTGATTAATTTCAACAAACTTATTCGTTTATGTATTTTCAGAAAGCTAAAAGATTATACTTTGTAAATGTACATATAGATTTCTGTAAAGTTGAATAAGTTTAGATCATATTTATTAGGATTGGTATAGAATGCGAATAAGATTATTTAATAGTTATTTTTGTCTAATTTAACTTGCTTATTCTTATTTATTGGAATTAAATTTGTGGCTTTTGCTTTTTATGAGATTTTAATTTCAATAAATATACTTTTGAAGATGTTCCTAAACATTTCACAGGTTACTTATACTCTGTTGTTTAAAATAAATGTATGATTATCCATATTGCTTAGGTAGCGAAATTGATTGTTTCATTTCCATTGAAACATTGATTTCCTTTTTTTTTCTTAGGAAGTTATTTTTTCTGAAGTTTTTTTTTAAAAAATGAATTTTGCTAATATTATTCATTAGATTTATATGATTTTTATAGTTCTAAAAATATTTGATATTAGTTTTTTCATGTATAATAATAGAATGGAGGGATTGTGCATGAATAAATAGTAATTATTGGACTATGCAAATGTATTTCTTTCTTTTTTTTTTTTTTGAGATTTTTGATTTGAATTATGATAATTGCGTTGCATCAGTCAAAATAATTACCCAACACACAAATCATATCAATGATTGCTATTTAATCCATCATTATTTTATTATTTTATTTATTCATTATTTTAGCTAATTATTATTTTATTTATTCATTATTTTAGCTAATACTAATCGATAGAAATTATGTATGTTGCTAATGAAGATAGTATATCATCGTCAGAAGATGTGAAGTTAAAGACACGTTTTCAAGGACAAGTATGTGAATTTTTCTTTATCGGAAATTTTAAATTATTTGCAAACATAATTTTTCTTAATGAATTATTATGCTGCTATCAAACTGATGCTATTGCTTATTCATTTTAAGAATGATTGATTATAATTCACTGATAGATTTAAAAGGTAAGAAATTGAACAAGATTTAGTTTATAGTTAACATCGTAAACCTCTTTTTGAAAGTCCAATTTGTGTCATTCAATGTGCAATTAAATGTTATACTACATTAAGTTAATATTAGATAATTAAGTAATAGCTATTTCTTGAAGATGTTATTCTGAATTCTTGCTAGTTTATCAAATTTTTTATTTTTCAGGTGTTAGTTTTGTACGCTAAAATTCCGCTACGATTAGAAACATTTTTAAGCAGTTTACGAGAAGCTTGCAAGCAGGCTTATAATCAACCGATTACAGTCAAATGGATTGATGAAGAAGGTTTGCTTTGATTAAACTAATAATGGATTTGAGGAAGAAGGAAATAACGCTCTATGTAGGATTTTTAGAAAAAAGTTATGATACATTAGTAAAAAGTTGTGATTCGTCGGGAAGATACCTGGTAATTTGTTATATTTCTTTGAATTCTGATTTATTTCAGCGATGTTTAGTAATTCAATGCATTTCTCTAAGATAGCAAACTTTATAATTTACACAAACATTCATTGCATAATATTTTTGGATAAGCTTTATAAGTTCAGTCTATTTTGTTTTATTTTTTCTGCTATACTGTAGAAGTTTAATGGAAATTGAATTTTTAAATCAAAGAAAATCAAAAATCTACTTATTATTGATCCCTTTAAGTGTAATTATTGTTTACTGTTTCGACTAATCAACAAATTCAGGTGATCCATGTACGATATCATCTCAACGTGAATTAGACGAAGCGATACGTTTGTTACATGCAAATGGTGAAGCAGAACTTAACGTTCATGTTTTCCTTGGCATTCCTCCTTTACCTGGTCTTCCGTGCCATGGAGAAGATAGTATGTTTAAAAAAAAAAAAAAAAAATTTTTTTTTTCTTTATTCGATTTGCTTATATAATTTCATATAATTCATGAGTTTCCTTCATTCGACAAATTTAATTTAATACATTAGAGAAATATTGTAGTTATTTTTTGAATCATCATTTTTTCTTAAAATCCTGATAAGTAATATTGAAATGTTTTTCTTTTTTTTTGCTTCCTCTCACTTAATATTTAAAAAAAAAAAAAAAAGTGATATGTTATAACAGAAGCGGTATATCGAAGAGGTGCTCGTCGTTGGAAGAAATTTTATCATGTTAATGGACATCGATTTCAAGCTAAGAGACTTAATCGAAGAGTACAATGTTTCTTTTGCAATGATTATATTTGGGGTCTTGGACGTCAAGGATATCGTTGTGCTGATTGTCGCTTATGTGTTCATAAAAAATGTCATAGAGCTGTACGACAACCTTGTGGTGATGTTGGTTTTTTTTTTTTTTTTTTTTTGACTATTTTCTAAAGTATAAACAAAAATTATAATTTAAATGGTTTTTGAATATTGTTTATTTGTAGAACAGTAGTGGAATGGCAGTTGCGCCATCACCTTCTGCACCAATTATTTCACCAAAATTTAATGGAGCCACAGTGGAACGTATTGGACTTGATAATCATGCATTTAAAGAATCAGAAATTGAAGCTGAGCATATTGCTGCTGTAAGTTTGGCTTCTTCTTTTTAAAATATAAATTGCTTTAAGAATTGCCATAAAAGATGTTATGTGACAAATATAATGTATACAGTACGACGAGTTTAGTAATGCAAAATATTGAAAAGTATGAAAAAAAAAAAAAAAATTGAAAATCATTGAAGTGTACAATATGATAAAATTTGAAAATTAATTATAAGTAACTGTAATATAGAATGAACCAAATGAAAAATATTTAATCTTCCAGAAGAGATGTAAATAATTTTGATTTTTCATATTAAAGAAAAAAACAATATTAATTTTCTACTTCCAGCAACAAAATTTAGTAGATCGTTGTGCTGGTAGTACATCAACAAAAGATTCAAAATGGGCAGTTTCGTTGAATAATTTCAATCTTTTAACGGTAATTGGAAGAGGTAAGAATAATAGCATTTTTGATCGTTGATTTTGAGAAATGTCAACTGCATTAAACTTATCATGCGTTTAATAATTAAAATATTCTCATAACACAAAATTAAAACAATAATGTTGAGTATAAGTACAGTTTAAATAAATTTTAAACTTTAACATGTTATATCTGACAGCATGTAGTAATGTTATGGCATTGTGATTTTTCCTTTACAATTTTGCAGTTTCGAAAAAATGACGAACACCTATTATTTTTTTCAAATAAAACTTAAATGCTTTCAGGTTCCTATGCTAAAGTTATTCAAGCAGAACATAAAAAAACAGGTGCAATTTATGCAATAAAGATTATCAAAAAACAAATGTTTAGTGATGATGAGGTGATTTTTTAAT